GGATCCTGGAAGAAGGATCCCCCAGGAGCAGGGGTGACAGAGTAGATCCCAGAAGCAGGATTCCAGGACTGGGATCCCAGGAGCACAGATGCCAGAGGAGGAGATCCCGGGATCAGGGATGCCAGAGGAGGAGATCCCGGGAGCGGGATCCCAGGAGTGGGGTCCCAGGAGTGGAGATAGTGAAGGAGGAGGCCCCAGGAATGAGAAGTGATCCGGGGTGCCCGGACCCGCGCCCCACGCGCGGAGGTGGCCCCGCCGCTGCGGCCCCGTTTGGGGTGGGGACCCCCGAGGCGGAGGCGCTGGCCGGGTCCCCCCGGTGCCGGCAGGCTCGGCCATGAGCGGGGTGTCGGGGCGGCCGTGCCGGGGGGGGCTGCGGTACCGGGGCCCTCTGATTTCGTTTGATTTCCCTTAATTTCGTTTGATTTCGTTTTGTCAGAGCGGGCGCGGCGGGGCCGGGCGGGCCGGGCCGGGCGGAGCGCGCCCAGCCTGAGGAGAGCCCGGCGGGCCACCCTGATCGCTCTAAAAACAACCAACCCCCCCCAAAGCAGCCGCCCACGGGAGGGAAGGGAGCCGGGACCGGTCCCACCGTGCCCACGGGCGGCTGCCCCGTGCCCGTGTGTCCGTGTGTCCGTGTGCACTCACACTGGGGTGGGCACAGTTCCACCGCACTCGTGGACATTTCCCCCGTGTCCCCGCACAGTCCCCCCGCGGTCTTGCACGTTTCCCCGTGTCCTTACGCGGTCCCCTCGTGTTTTCGCGGCTCTCCCGTCCCGTGCCCGGTCCCTCCGTGTCACCGTACGCCCCCCCACGTCCGTGCCCCGTGTTTTTGCGCGACTCCCTCGTGTCCGTGCACGGTTACCCGTGTCCGTCCACAGTCCCCCGTGTTTTGGGAAGGCTTTCCCGTGTCCCCGCACAGTCCCCCCGTGTTTTCACTCGGCTCCTTCGTCTCCCCGGACAGTCCCCCCGTGTCCGTCCACAGCCCCCCGTGGTCCACACAGTCCCCCCGTGTTTTCACTCGGCTCTTCCGTGTCCCTTCACAGCCCTCGTGTCCCTTAACAGGACCCCGTGTTCCCTCACAGTCCCCCCGTGTTTTCCCTCAGCTCCTTCGTCTCCCTGGATAGTCCCCCCGCGTCAATACCCAGCCCCCCGTGTTCCCACACAGCCCCCCGTGTCCATACCCAGCCCCCCGTGTTCCCACACAGTCCCCCCGTGTCCATACTCAGCCCCCCGTGTTCTAACACAGTCCCCCCGTGCCCATACTCAGCCCCCCGTGTTCCCACACAGTCCCCCCGTGTCCATACTCAGCCCCCCGTGTTCTAACACAGTCCCCCCGTGCCCGTACCCAACCCCCCGTGTATCCACACAGTCCCCCCGTGTCCATACCCAGCCCCCCGTGCCCGTACCCAGCCCCCCGTGTACCCACACAGCCCCCCGGGTTCCCTCACAGTCCCCCCGTGTTTTCCCTCGGCTCCTCCGTGTCCCCGCACTGTCCCCCCGTGTCCACACACAGTCCCCCCGTGTCTCTGCACGGCTCCCCCGAGTCCCCGCACGTTCACCCGTGTCCGTCCACAGCTCCCCTGTTTTTTTTTTTTTTTTTTTTTCCCCCGCACAGGCCCCCAGTTTTCGCACGGTTTTCCCCTTTTGGGGGGGGGGGGTGGGGTTTTCCCCCCCCACCCCCCTTTTTCCGTGTTTTCGTACGGTTCCCCCTTGTCTCCTCGTATTCCCCCCTTGTCACCACAAAGTCCCCCCGTGTTCCCACGCAGTCCCCACGTGTTCCCACACAGTCCTCCCGTGTTTCCACACAGTCTCCCCGTGTTTCCACACAGTCCCCCAGTGTCACCGCACAGTCCCCCCGTGTTCCCACGTGGTCCCCCCGTGTTCCTGTACGGTCCCCCCGTGTTCCCACGCAGTCCCCCCGTGTTCCCACGCAGTCCCCCCGTGCCCGCCGAGGCCCCGCACCGTCACCGGGCTCGCCGCGCTCTCCCGGCCCGGGTCCTCGCTGCTCCGGCCCCGAGGACCCTCGGCGGGGCCCCCACCGGGGAGCACCGGGCCGGGCCGGGGGTCTGCCGGGGCAGCCGCTCCTTCGCGGGGAAGGGAAGGAGCAGGAGGAGAAGGAGGGTCCCCCCCGGTGCCCCCCGAGCCGCGCTTGGTGTGAGCCCAGCGGGCCGGGACTCACCGGGGGCGGCCGGTTCGGGGTCTGGGGAAGCCCCGGCTCCGCTCCCGGCGGACACCGCACCCCCCGCAGCCGGGCCCGGGTCGAGCCGAGCCCACCGAGCCGAGCCCACCGAGCCGAGCCCCCCGAGCCGAGCAGGGCCCACCGAGCCGGGCCCACCGAGCCGAGCCCCCCGAGCCGAGCCGGGCCCACCGAGCCGAGCCCCCCGAGCCGAGCCGGGCCCACCGAGCCGGGCCCACCGAGCCGAGCCCCCCGAGCCGAGCCCACCGAGCCGGGCAGGCACCCGCCGGCCTGGCCTTACCTCCATCTCCGGCGGGATCGGGAGCACCGGGGTGCGGACCCGGGGCGCTCCGGGCGGCGGATCAGGCTGCAAAACAGGAAAATAAAGGAATTTTGTGTTTTTTCGCTCCATGGCCGCCCCCGGAGCGGCGGGAAGGGGGGAGATGGAGCGGGGCGGCGGCTCGAGAGGGATGCGGGGGCTCGGCAGGGCCGGCGGCGGGGCCGGAGCGCTGGGAACGGGGATGCTCCGGGAGAGCACGGCCGCTCCCACCCCGGGCCGGGCTTCCCTGGGCTGGGTCTGCTCGGCACTGCCCCGGGAGCGAGAAAAAATAGGGATACCGATAATAATAATAATAATATCAATAAATAGCGCTAATAGCTCTAATATCGATAGCACTAATACCAATCGTACTAACACCAATCGTACTGATACCAGCGGTAATACTACAAATAATAGGAACACTACTAGTGACATTAATACCACTAATGTTAACACTAATTACAACAACAACAGCGGTAACAACACCACCGAAACAAACCCAACAACAGCAATAATGATACAATAAAAAGGGCATTTTAAAAATTATTATTGTTATTATTATTAGTGTTATTATTTTTTTTCTGAGGACCCGGCTCCGCTCTCAGCCCGCGGAGCAGAGCGGATCCCCTCGCCTCCCCTTCCCGGGAGCGGCGGAGACGGCCCGCACCCGGCATTTCCCTTTCCCCGCTTCCACTTCCCCCCGAGCAAATCCCTTCCCGTCGTTGTTAACGTTAATCGCAGGGATAACGGGAAAAAATAGCAGGAAGGGAGCGGGATCCGCGCGGAGGCGGCGGGGGCCGAGCGGGCGGCGGGGGCCGAGCGGGCACCGGGGGCCGAGCGGGCGGCGGGGCCGCTTCTCTCCCGGTCGTACCGCGGCCTCGGCCGCCGCTCGGGGCCGGAGCTCGGCGGAGGGAGGATATTTCGTTCCGGCAGCTCCCGGTCGGCGGCTGTGCCCCTCTTCCCGGCGGGACCGGCCCGCAGGCCTCCCCACGCGTGACCGCCGGGCATCGCCTCTGCACGGTCCGGGGGGGTTGGGGCCGCAGGGTGGGGTGGGGTTGGGTTATTTTTCCTGGTTTTCGTTCAGAACCCTTTGCCGGTGTCACATCCACCCCCGGGCCCGGTGGCGGGGCAGAGCGGAGCCCGGCCCGCCTTTGCCGCAGCCCCGGCAGCGGGAACCGGGAACGGGGAGCAGGGAGCGGGGAACCGGGAGCGGGGAACCAGCTACGGCCGCCAGAACCTACCCCTTACCGGCGGCCCCGTCCCGCCGCCCCCTTCTTGCCCCTCCGGGCCCCGCAGAGCCGGGGGTGCGGGCCGGGGCCACCGGCCCTCGGCGGGGCCCGTCCTCCGCGGCCCGGCTCCCCGCTCGGCCTTTTTCGTTTGTTTTCTTTCCTTTTTTCTCCCTTTTATTCCATTCCTTTCCTTTTACTTCCTTTATTCCCGTGACTTTATTTTTCCCTTTTGTTTTATTTTTGCCCCCACTCTGTTTTTCCCCGCTCCGCGCTGGTTCGGCCATTCCAGGGACGGGCACAGGCCGCCGCAGACACGGACCCTCGGGTACCACGCCAGCACAAGGCCTTGAGCTCCCGGGCGCTTCCCGCCTCGGCCGGGCTCCTTCCCGGTGCACCGGGCCGGGCTCAGACCCCGGCGGGTCCCCCCACCCCGGGCAGTGCCCGGTGCCGGGCTGCGGGAGCGGCGGGGCTCGGGCGGGTGTCGGGGGGGGTGCGAATTCTCAGGTGCGCTTGGGTTAACGGTTAATTTATTGCTTTTTAATCCGCCAGTATTGCAACGGTTTCTATTTGAGGGGGGTCCGGGGGGGTAACGGGGAATGGGGAGGCCGCCCCCGCCCGCTCCGGGGACGTGTCGCCGCCGCTTTTCCGCCGGGTTTTGCCCCGTTGCAGAGAGAGGCGGAACGGCCCCCCCCGAGTCGGGGGACTGCCCGGGACACCCCCCGGAGTCCGTCAGCCCCAGCTGGACACCGAGAGCCGCCTCCCTCGGTCCCGGTGCCGGTGTCGCCGCCGCTGCCGGGAGCGGCCGTGCCGCTTAACGGGGATTTCGGGGCTCCCCCGCGGCCCCATCCCGGGGAGGCGGTGGCGTAATTGCGGTAGCAGCGGGCGCTCTTTGGACCGCCGGGCTGCGGGGCACCGCGGGGGAGAGGAAAAGGAGCCCCCCGAGCCCCCGCCCGGCCCGGGGAGGGGCAGAGCGAAGGGGGGTATTTTTTATTCGTTTCCACCTCGGTTGGCCCTTCCCCGGCCCGGGGGGTTCCCGTGGGTGAGCCCCGCGGGAAGGCGGCACCGCCGCCGCTGCCGGGGCCGGAGCCGGGGCCGGGCGGCCGCCGCTGCCGGGGCTCTTTGTTTACCAATCGGTGTCACGGCACGGGAGAGCAGGAAATTGCGTCTGTACCGGGCCGTTAATTTAAAAGCGGCCCTTTCCTCCCCCCGGCCGCTCCCCTGCGCGGCGGGGGCTCTGCCGCCCGCTCCCCGCTCCCGGCTCCGGCGGCGGCCGGGGATGCGCAGCCGAGCGCGGCGGCGGGGGAGGGCCGGGCCGGAGGAATAAGGACCCGGCTTCTTCCCCGGTCCCACCCCCGGCCGCTTCCTCCGCAGCTCCCTCCCCTCGGCCTCCCCTTCCCCTCCCGCCCCCCACTCCCCCTAAAATCATCCCCCCATCTCCCGGTATTGATTTCCCCGCACGCGAATCCCAGCGCGGCGCGGCGAGCCCGGGCACTGGCGGCTCCGTCACCCGCTCCCGCCGGGACCGGCATCGGGACCGGGACCCGCACCGGGACCGGCGCCCCATGGAAGGGCAGCGGCTGCGGCCGGAGCGGCTGAAGTTTGCCCGGAGCGAGGTGCCGCGGGAGGTGGAGCTGGGGAGGGGGCGCGGGGGGGGCTCAGCCGCCTGTCAAAGTTTTAAACTCCTTTTTTTCCCCCCCTCGCACCCTCTCGGGACGCCCCGATGGGTCCCCCCCCACCCTCCCCACCGCGGTACCACCCCCGGCCGGTGGAGCGGGGAGGGGGGCGCGCTTTAAATGCCGTCCCCCCGGGTGGGAGCGGGCGAGAGGCGGGAGGTGACGGCCCCCGGCGGTCCCCGGCCATGGGGGTGAGCTGGGGCGCCGAGCCCCGGGGGGGCCGGGGAGGGGCGGGGAGGGGAAGGGGTCTGGGGAGGGAGGGGGGGCGGGGGGGGCTCCCTCCCACCCCCCCCCGCCTAGTCTTGCCTCCTGTCTCCCTCTCCCCGTCTCTCTCTCTCCCTCCTGATGTTTGATCCCGCCGCGGCGCCCGCAGGGATGAGCGATGGAGGGGCCGAGCCCGGCGGGAGCCCCGTGCTGCTGGCCGAGCCCGCGGCCACCGGGCGGGCCCGGGAGAAGGCGCCGACCCGGGCGGAGCTGGAGAGCGCCCTGCGCGGCGGCGGCGGAGGCGGCGGCGGCTTCAAGGACATCCCCGGAACGTCGGCGGTCAGCCCCGGCTCCTCCAAGGAGTGCGCCCCGGACACCGAGAGCCCGTCGGGGACCGGCGAGGCGGATTACTGCCGCCGCATCCTGGTGCGAGGTACGGGCAGGGTCCCCGCTCCCGGCCCCCGCTCCCCGCTTCCCCCTCCGGGAGTTCCCGTTCCGAGGACGGGGAATCCCCGGCACCGCTTCCAGCGCATCCCGGGCGCTGCCCGGCTGCGTGCTCCGATCTCTCGGCCCCGCCGCTTCCCGTGGCTCCGCTCCGTGCCGCACGGACCGGGCCCGCTGCCCCAGCCCTGCTCCGCCGGGAGCGGGCTCCGAGCGGGGCCGTGCGTGCCCGGCGGGGTCCGGGGGAACGGGCGCGGGGTCACGGACCCCCGGGCCGGCTGAGCCCCGCGGGGACGCGCGGGCGGCGGGAGAGGGGGGACAGCATCGCGTTTGAAGCGATGTCGCAGGAGAAAAGCGTCACGGAGCGGCGGCGGGCGAGGGGGGGGTATTTTTTTTTCCCCTTTATAATATCCCCGGCTCGACCGGGGCTGGGGCACGGCGGGACCCGGAGACGCCGCGTCCCGCATCCCGGATCCCGCCCCGCCGCCCGCGCTCGGTCCCCGCCGGCCCGGGGCTCGCCGGGGCCAGCTTGGCTCGTGGCGAACCCCGAGAAGTTTGGGGCGCCTCGGAGCGGCTGCGGCAGGCGGGCAGGGACCGAGCGCTCCTCGGCTCGGGGCTCCCGCGGCTCCGGGGATGCTCAGCGTCTCCCCCGCTCCCGGAGCCCGGAGCAGCTCGGCGGCCGCCCGGCGATCAGGGCTGAGGCCTCCCGGTCCCCAGCCCAGCGCTCGGGCAGGGCGGCGGGGACCGGAGCCGCGGCCGTGAATTGCCTCCTCACCGCCTGGGGGGCGGCGGGGACCGGAGCCGAGTCCCCGTTCGATCGCCATCCCGGGCCGGGCATCCCGGCAAACGGCCCCGCCGCTCCCCGCAGCCTCTTCCCGGCTGTGGCGATGGGCGCCTTTCGCCGACAGCCCGGCTGCCGCAGTCCGAGCCCTCCGAGCCCTCCCCGGGCACCGCGGCGGGGCAGCGGGCAGCGCTCGGGGGTGAGCCCGGGGGTCCCGCCCGGGGTATCCCCCCGTCCCGGGGGTCGCCGAGCGGGGCCGCCGCCGTTCCCGCCGGGGTCAGGCCGGGGTCAGGCCTCTCCTCCGCCGGTTTCAGTCCTACCCAGGCCCTCCCGACGGTCCCGGGGCTGGGAGCGGGGCGGGGGTCGGTGCCCAGGCCCGGGGCAGGGTCCCCGCTGCCCCCGGCCCCGGGGACCCTCACCCGGGAGAGCCCAGTCTCACCATCTTGCTGCAGCCGCCACGGTGCGGACAAAATGGTGGCGGGGAGAATCGCCGCAAATAACCGGGAACGGAGCCGAAATGAAGCGGGGGGGACGCGGCGGGGACAGCGGGTGTGCGGGGCCACGGGCCCGCCGTTCCCCGCCCGCCCCCGGCCGGGGTCCCGCAGCCGGGCAGGGTCGGGGCCGAGCACCGGCCAGGCCCGGGCAGAGCTCCAGGTCGGTTCTATGCGAAGTGGGAGGTTAAAATGCTTATTTTTATATTTTTAAGCTGTAATCTTCAATATTTTTAATTCCGCCCTCGCCACCAGCCCCGGGGACGGGGCCGCATCGCCCCCGCCGGTCCCGGCCCCGGTGCGGGGCGGCTGCGGCGGAGCTGCCGCGACCCCGCTCCAGCCCCGGGGTTCGCCCGCGGTGCCTTCGGTGAGGACGGGGGTCCTGGGCAGCCCCCCGCTCCGGCGGGGCTCTCTCGGGGTCTCGGTCCGCTGCCTGGCACAGCTCGGTACCGGGGACCGGCCGCGCGGGACGGGGCCGCTTCGCCCCCCGGCCGTGCCCGTCTCGTCGGGCCGGTGACTCCCGGCCGCCTGCGGGTCGTTTTTCCCGGGGATAACCGGGAGAAGGGCTCGGTGGCGGAGGGAGCCGGGCAGCCCCGGGGCCGGTCCCGCTGCCAGCGTGGCCGCTGCAGTCCCGGGGGCGGCGGGGCGGGGTGGGGGCACATCCAGGGGTGTTCCCCCCTTCCTCCCGGTCACCTCCCGGGGCTGCCCCGGGGCTGGGCCCGGGGGTCGCAGAGCACGTGGGGGGACCCCGGTGGAGTTTGGGATGCACTGAGAAGGGCTGCAGGTTCCTGTGCCCCTCAGCCTGTCCCGAGGTGCCACCAGGGCCACCCCATGGCACGGAGAGGGATTGGGGAGACGTGTTGGGGAGCTGACAGGGCAAGGGGGGGCCCCAAAATGTCCTGGCAGCTGCGTTGATGTAGAAACCCTCGTGCACAGCAGGGTGTGTGGGATGTCCCTGTGCCAAGGAGAGGTGTCCCTGTGCCAAGGAGAGGTGTCCCTGTGCCAGAGAGAGGTGTCCCTGTGGATATGGGGGTGTGTGGCATGGCCCTGTGCCAGGCAGAAGTGCCCCTGTGGACATGGGTGTGCATGGGGTGTCCCTGTGCCAGGCAGAGGTGTGCCCTGTGCACACGGGTGTCCTGGGCTCTTTTGGGGGATTTCAGTCCCAGGCCTTGTCCCGGATCCGCTGCCATCAGGGTATCCCGGTCCCCAAGAACAGGATGTGCCACCAGGGCCCCGCTGGCGAGGCCGGGGGCTGCGGGAACCCCCCGGGCAGCCACGGCAGGACCTGGCGGGTGTTGGGGGTCTGGGATCCGGCAGCTGATGGGGGAAGGCTCTGCAGAGGGGGTCCCGCAGGCAGGGTGGTGCTGTGCCCTTCCTGGCACGGGGGGACGGCCGTGGGCCCCCAAAACCCGCAGCGGGGAAGGTCTGTGGTGCCCGGCAGGTTTTGGGGGCGAGGGTTTTGGGGACGAGGGCTTTGCCTCTCCTCTGCCGAGCTGGCACCGTGGGCTGTGCCCCTTCCCTCCCTTCCCCCCGGTGCTGCTCCCCCACTCGCGGCCCAGCTGCCGGGGGGATGACAATAAATAATGCCCGAGCGATGCCGGCGCGGCGAGGGCGGAGGGCAGAGCTGCAGCTGCGGCTCCGAGCCACCAGCCCCGGCTGTTGTTGTGCCGCGGGGCCGGCGTGGGCACGGGCATGGGCACGGGCGTGCGGACGTGGTCTGGGCATCGTCTCTGCCGCCGCTCTCCCCTCACAAAATGGTTCCCGGGCCGGCGTCCCCATCCCACCGGAAAAGCCGCCGATCCGCCCACAACCCGTTTCCTTTCCCGCAGCCCCGTGCCCACCCGTGGGCTGTGGGGTGTGGGGTGTGGGGTGTGGGTCTGGTCCCACCAGACCCTCTCCCACCCTGGTTGTCCCCAGGCCCCGGTAACTCCTTCGGTGCCGCCCGGAGCCAGCGCGGCCCTGCCGGGATGGCACCTCTGCCATGTGTTGGGAAACCGGCTTTGGGAGTGGGGTCCCTCTCCCAAACCTCCCAAATCTGTGCCTGCTCCCCACTCCCACCATCCCCACGCCAGATCCACCATTCCCATTCCAGCTCCACCATCCCCATTCCAGCTCCACCTTTCCCACCCCAGCTCTTCCATCCCCATCCCAGCTCTTCCATTCCCATCCCAGCTCTGCCGTCCCCATCCCAGCTCCACCATTCCCATCCCAGCTCCACCATTCCCATTCCAGCTCCACCATTCCCATTCCAGCTCCACCATTCCCATCCCAGCTCTTCCATCCCCATTCCAGCTCCACCATCCCCACCCCAGCTCTTCCATCCCCATCCCAGCTCTGCTGTCCCTATCCCAGCTCCACCATTCCCATTCCAGCTCCGCCATCGCCATTCCAGCTCCACCATTCCCATTCCAGCTCCACCATTCCCATTCCAGCTCCACCATCCCCACCCCAGCTCTTCCATCCCTATCCCAGCTCTTCCATCCCCATTCCAGTTCCACCATTCCCATTCCAGCTCCACCATCCCCACCCAAGCTCTGCCGTCCCCATCCCGTCTCCGTCACCCTTTCCCAGCCTTCTCCTGGCTATTTTCCCCCTCCCTACCCCAGCACTTTTCTAATCCCTTCCCGTCTGAGTCAGCCAGAGGGAGGGAAAGCCGGTGCCCTCCAGCCAGGGCTGCTGGGGACCCTCTGACCTTGGGAACCAGCACCCCAAAATCAGGGCCTGGCACGGGGCTGCTTCCCTGGAGCAGTTTTTAACCCTCTGGGAAAGCCACGGGGCAGGAACAGGGAGCTCTGTGGCCAGGGCTCACCCAAACCAGTTTGCCACTGGTGTTACTGGAGCTCGGGGAGGGTCAGCACGAGGAGCACGGGGGGTTTGGGGTCTGGCAGGACCTGGTGGGTGATTTCCAAGGCTCCTTTTAATTCCTGGTGCCACGTTGGGAGCACCAGCAGTGCCACGGCACAGCACAGAGGGCTGGGACAGGTCCCGGCACTCGGGGGGCTCCGGGGGTTTTTGGGAGAGCTGCTCCTTTGCCAGTGGGAATCGAAGCCACGGCGGCTCCTTCGGAGTGGCCACGAGCCACGACCCACGGCGTGGACGGAGCCGACGTGGGAGTTAAACCCTCCGGCTTTGGTTTCCCTGGATAGTCTCAGCCTTTCCCAACCTCGTAAAATTGGCTGCTGGAACAGGTCAGGGCCACAGCACTTCCCAAACCGGTCCCTTAATATAAAACTGCCCCAAAATGGGAGCTGCTGCTTTCCCAGGAAATATTCCTTCAGCGAGAATAATTCTGGAGAGAAGGGAATTGTAACAGAGGTAAATTTTTCCATTATTCCCAAGGAAGGACAAAAAAAAAAAAAACCAAAATATATATTTTTAATTAAACAAACCTTTCATTCTATCTAATTCTTCCTTGGTATAAATCTGCTTTTTGCTCCTGGTTTTCCCAACTGTTATTTCCGGAATGAAACGTTCTGTTTTCCTGAAAAACTTTATGGTTTCTATTTATGTCTTTAAAAAAAAAACCCCATAATTTATGGAGATTTGTTGCCGCTCCCTGGGTATTTATAAACTTACGGCGTTTGGTGCCAGAGGGGAGAACCAAACTGTGGGATGGTGCCCGTTTAGCTCCAGCTCGTGGGATTTTCATGGATATTCTGCATCCAGCCCCGACCCTCGGGGCGGCACCGGGGAGGTGATGCAGGGCTGGTGGTGCAGCCGGTCTTTAATTCGATTTAATTAACTTTTCCTGCCCCGACAACTGGGCTTTCTGGACCGGTTCCACCAGTCCCCGGAGATGTTTTTTTTCCTGACGGCTTTTCCCGCTCCCCCCCCTCCCCCGCAGATGCCAAAGGGACGATCCGGGAGATCGTGCTGCCCAAGGGGCTGGACCTGGACCGGCCCAAGCGGACCCGCACGTCCTTCACGGCGGAGCAGCTCTACCGCCTGGAGCTGGAGTTCCAGCGCTGCCAGTACGTGGTGGGCAGGGAGAGGACGGAGTTAGCGCGGCAGCTCAACCTCTCCGAGACCCAGGTGAGGCTCGGGGGCTCCCCCGGTGGCCGCGGTCCCCAACCCCGCGGGGGGATCGGAGTTCGGGGGAGGGCTGGGGGGACGCTGCGCTGCTCCGGGGGGACGGTTCTCCCCCACCCCTTTGTCCCGAGCCCGAGGATCGGCTGGTTTGGGGGTGGGGGGGTCTGTAGGGACCCCCCGACGGGCAACACCCCCCCGGAGGGTCCGGCAAAGGGTCAAGGCCAGGCTGGACGGGGCTCGGATCCGCCTGGGCCGGTGGAACGTGTGGGTTTAGGGGCCCTTCCAGCCCAAACCATTCCATGATCCTATGAAAGCCGGGAAGAGGAAAGAGCAGGAGGGTACCAGTGGGGAGCCGAGGTCCTCAGGCAGCACCCACGGTGGGGTGGGGCAGCGGGGTGGGACGCGGTGGGTGCCGTGGGGGCACGGCCCCTGCCCCCGCCGCTCCCCAATCCCGGCGGGATGGGGCCCACTGGGGATTCTCCCTGTGGAACAGCGACCCGGAACGTCTTCTCCATCAGCTCCCCGTGCAGATCCTTGGCGCTGGGGAGGGGTGTTCCCGGTTTTCCTCCGCTGTGCTCGGGGAGATGCGGGCGGGCGGAGCGGGACAGGCTGTGCCGTGTGCCGGGGTTGGTGCGTCCGCTGGGGCTGGGACGGCTTCGGCTTGGAAATGTATGACAAAATAGTAACAATAATTAATAACTTAAATTAAAATACAATCATAACAACAACAACAACAGTGCAGTGCAGAACAGGCAGGGCCGCCCTGCCCTGCCCAGCCCGGCGCAGCGGGAGACGGTGACACAGTTCCATCGATTCGCGCGGGCAACAATTCCAATTTTTCCAACCCTTTTGTGGAACAGCCCCGTCCTGGGTGTCGGCAGCCAGGCCCCTGCCTCCAGGCTCCCCTTGTTTCCCAAGGGGGATGATTTTGGGGGGATTGTGCTGCTCTGTGGTGTTTTGGCACTGGCTCTGAGGTGTTTTGGCACTGGGTCTGAGGTGTTTTGGCACTGAGTGTAAGGTGTTTTGGCAATGGGTGTGAGGTGTTTTGGCACTGGGTGTGAGGTGTTTTGGCACTGGGTGTGAGGAGTTTTGGCACTGGGTGTGAGGTGTTTTGGCACTGGTTCTGAGGTGTTTTGGCACTGGGTGTGTGGTGTTTTGGCACTGGGTCTGAGGTGTTTTGGCACTGGCTCTGTGGTGTTTTGGCACTGGGTGTGAGGAGTTTTGGCACTGGTTCTGTGGTGTTTTGGCACTGGGTGTGAGGTGTTTTGGCACTGGCTCTATGGTGTTTTGGCACTGGCTCTGTGGTGTTTTGGCACTGGTTGTACGAGGGGGAGCCGAGCTGTGGGGAGCAAAAATAATTCTTGGGGGTTTTTTGGCGGCAGAACGGGTGGGGTTTGGTAAAGGAAGAGGATTTGGTGTGGGAGGATTTTTTGGTGGCTGTGCCATAGCTGGGAG